TGCTGATGAAACCTTCTAGGGCAGACAGGACCCTCCTCCACCAGGCTAAAAACCCTTGGCACCTGGTATTTACTTCCACTGACACAAAGAACACCCCCGCTGGCTATTGAGGGGTGCAAAGACCTAGCCTAGGCCTGAGTGTTGAGCCCCAGCTCAAGTCTGGGATCATGCCCGGTATGCAAAAGCCAATAAAGATACCAGGGGTGAAAGTATAAAGAAGATTTATTGCTAGCAATACAAGGTGCAAGCGGAATAATTTCACGTAACAAGCACACAGATTCTTAATTCTAAGCATCTTTTATACAGGAGTATTGGACCTTCATAAGCATTCTTGTTTGCTAATTGGTTATAAGGGAGTGACGCAAGGAGTTCTTTACTGAGCATGTCTCTATACCTGTGTTTTAGCTATGTATCTCATTTACATACATGTATGTTTCATTAGCATACTTTCTCCCCACCTAGGGGTGTGATTTTTAATATTTAAATTAGCTCTTTGCCCTAGTCCTCTGATTCTGCTTTTGTTTTCAAGCCTCCTTTATCCAAGACTGTCTCCTCCTTATCATTGCAGATGGGCATTAGTTACATAACATTCACTTTTGCTTGGGCTTTGTATAGTGGTTTCTAGGTCAAACCTGACATGAGGAGACCAGAAGGGTCAAGCACAGTATCTGCGTAGGGGATTGCAGCTCTGCAGCAGCTGGGGCTATTTAATGGAGCCTGAGTTTTCATGCCCGCTGTGCCCTGTGCCTTTGCTGTGGTCTTGTCCTCAGCAAGTGGAGACACAAACACGGTGTGCACACATGACAATCTGGTGTGCGTGTGTGTGTAAATGGAGACAACCTGGTGTGCAGTTGTGTGTAAACAACCTAGAGGGGTTGTGTGTGTAGACAACTTGATGTGTATATGTATGTGTGTGCGTGGAGACAACTTGGTGTGTGTGTGTGGAGACAACCTGGGGTGCGGGTAGACAACCTGGGGCGGGGGGTGTGTGTGTATGTGTGTGGTTGTTATCACTATTATCGCGCCAGGCAGTGGCAGAAGCTTCTCCCGTAGCGGCCCCGGACTCCGACTTGCCCCCAAAAGCCCCGCTCGCTCCCTCCACCGCCCCCAAGAGCTCCCCCCTCCAAACCCTTCTTCTCCCGCCACCAGAGCCAGCCGGCCTCCGATTGGTCGCTGTGGGAAGGACCCACCACATCAGCCCCGCCTCTTCCCAGTAGCGTCACAGAAGGGGGTCACGTGATGTGGCGGGCGCGGCCTGCCATTGGTCGACACGAGAGGAAACAAGCCACCTCCCGCCTCAGGCAAGGGAAGTGCGACACGGGAGGCGGGTCACGTGACGTGGCGGGGCCCGCCCGCTTCCTGGCTGCTTAAGTGAGCGCGCGGGCGGTCCTGCGGGGAGCGAGCGAGTGAGAGCGAGGTTCGCGGGTCTGGAGGGTGGCGCTTCTTCCCTCGAGGGGTGAGGGTGGTCCCGGTCCCGGGGGTTCCCCTTTTTCCCTCCCCCCGGCCTCGTGGGGCTGACGCGGCGGTTCCTTCCTCTCCGCAGGTATGGCCCACACGTCGCCTGAAGCCGGGAAGGCGCCGGGCAGGATCCAGGTGGGTGCCGGGGACGAGGCCTGAGCATAGGGCGCCGCTGCGGAGGGTGCCCGGCTCCTCCTGTTCACCCCGCCCCCGAGGGGCTGCGGGGGGCCCTGGGGGCAGGGTGCAAGCAGCGGGGGGTGTGGAGTGCAGCCACAAGTAGGGTGCGAGGTGGGGGGTGCCCCCTAGCTGCCCTGCCGCTGCGGGCCGCCTGCCCCGTGTGCCCCTTGTGTTCCCTCCTGCCCCTGCCCCATCTGCAGCTCTGCAGTCTGCCCCCTTGGGCCTAGTGCTGTCCCTGTGCTGACCTACGTGCCGCCCGTGTTGGCTGTGCTTGTGCCCTGGGTTAGCTATCTCCCTGCATAAGGCATTGTAAAGCTAGGTGCTGTAGTCTCGGGCACATCCCTTTGTGGCAGACGGGTGTGTGCAGGGCCCCGGGTGCATCTGCCTACAGGCAGCAGGCCCTGAACGTAAACTACAGGTCCACGTTGGCAAACTTGGAAAACTGATTTGTGCCATTAAACCAGGCTTACCTGTGAATGCTGCAAAATCCTGGGGAGAATGCGGGGGGAAGCTATTGCTACAGCAGAGGTGCTCTAATGGAGGGGTTCCCAACCTCTTTTAGGCTGAGGATCTGCAGGCCAGTAGCGACCGGTGTACTGTGACTACATGGCCAACTCTCTTTTATACTCACTATAAGAAAGGATTGGCTGCTGGTCTGCAGTGTGCCGATCACTTCTGGTTCGTGGTTTGCCAGTCCACAGTCATTTCTGGTCTGGCAGCCAGCCCTTCATGGTCAGCAGCCCAGGGGTTGGGAACCCCTACACTAATGGTCGGTGAGGCCTTGGGACTGACCTGTAAACATGGAAAACTTAATAATCATCAGTTCAGAGTTCATGTAATACTAAAAAAGGTGCACAGGGAATAGTTATTACATGCCTGACTACATGTAATCAAACCGCTGGTCTACAATGTACTGTGAAATGCCAAGAAGATATTTATGGGTTACCCTTGGGGAAAGGGGGTGAAGGGGGAAACACCAGTTTCTTTTAAAGATGACTTAAACTTGAGTGGAGATTTCAGAAGTTCCAGCCCAAAAGAAAGAGCTGTCTGCACATACCTTGCTCCT